ACTGCCGGCCGCGGAGTGGCTGCGGAGGGGCAGCCAGGGACGTGTTTTTCTTCCACGGAGGAGGCACATCTCGGGGGAACATCCTGCCGGTTGCGGGGAAGCAGCGCTCGAACCCGCGGCAGCCCCGCGCCTGGTTTGGCCGCAGCCGAATTCCAGCTGCATTATCTTACTTAAAAAAAAAAAATAATAAAATAAAAAAAATAAAGCTGCAGAAGTTGCAACTACCATTGTTTCGGGTACCGAGACATTACGCCGAGAAACGAGAGGGAAACAACGTCGCGACAACGCGAACCGCCGCGCTGATACCGCGCGGGTCCCTGCGCGCCCGCGGGAGGCTCCCAGCCCCCCCTGGAGTGGGAATCCCACCTCCCGCCGTGGGACCGCCACCCCCCGTGGTGGGGGTGCAGACTCGCCCGGCAGCGCTGAGGGGCTTTGGGGAGGTGTGAGCAGCTGGGATGCAGCGGGTGGGGGTCTCCCCCTCTGCGTGGGGGGACTGCCACTGACGGGGAGAGCCGCGCACTCCGGGGGCGTGTGGGCACTCGGGGGTCGTGTCGCGGACACGGACACGCGGGGGAGATGCAGCCCAGCCAGTGCCGGCTGGAAGACGAGCCGGCAGGCTTCCGTGCTGAAAAGGAGTTAAACCCCGCCGTTGTCCTTTGATTTAGGAAATGGCTCATCCAATTCAGTTCCAGATTATTCAGGGGCAGGCTGCCTCGCTCGCTCCCTCTCTCCCTACACCAGCCCAAACATCTTGAAGTAATCAGCAGCTGAGAACGGAGACGTCCCCCTGGCATCTCAGGTTAAAGAAGGAGGTCCAGGAAAATGTGGTAGAGCCATTACAAGAAACCTGAGATGCATTCATCAGAGACTCCAATTGCCATCGCATTAGGATTGATTAGAGACCAGCAGTACCGTAATGACCCGGAAAGCGGGGCATACGGGGATTATTAATATCAGACTTCTCAAAAAAAAAAAAAAAAAAAAAAGGAGGGAGGGGAAAAAAAGAGTAAAAGAGAGAAGGAGGAGGAGGGAAAATGAGGGAAAATTTAAAAAACAAAAGCGCATCGCGGGGCTCCTGCTCGGATGCAGACTTACCTGAGAGCACAGGTACCGGCTAGCCTCGAGGACGAGAATTTATCTAACTTCTAGGAAAGAAAAAGCAAACAAATATGGGGGGAAACCCCAGCTCTGGGCACCCTGAAATCGCCCGCCTCCGTGTACGGCTCGCACAGAGACTCCCAACTCCGCGGCCTCGGGGCCGGGCGGGCCGCGGTTTGGGGGTCCCAGCCGGGGGCTCCCCCACCCAGGCCAAAGGACGCCGGTCCCCGGGCTGGCGACAGCAAGGACAAGTTAAGGAGCCACCAGAGAGGGGCAAAGAGACCTCGATGGCTCGTCTCCTTCTCAGTTCCCTGCGCCAAAACAAATCAGCCCCTCCTGGTCTCGGTTTAAATGTAGCTCACTGGATAATTAACTCCATCTTTCCAGCCCTGCTTTAACTGTTTATTTAGTGTCACCCCGTATTACCATCACTAGCACTTTCCTCTGAACAGGAGGAGCTGGAGGGTTTCACCTCCCAAAAGGAAATTTTTCGTAGCTTAAAAGAATCAGCATCCAGGAGGTACATTAGCAAAGAGAATAGGGGGGACAGGGACTGGGGGTCCTATGGGAAAAGCAGGAGAAAATAAGGGTGGAGGGGGGACAGAGACAGAAAGACGTATCGGCCCTCGGAGAGGAAAAAAAACAACGCGTGATCACCTCTAATCCTTTGAAAAATGTCCCGGTAAGTGCGCGAAGAAAGAGCCCTTTGTGCCCTGGGGATCGGCCACGCCGGGAAGGCCTTATCCTTATCCTCATCCTGCCCCACCATCCCGGCCCGGCCCTGCCCTCCTCCGGCAGCCCCAGCCGGGCCTGACCCCGCCGGGTGCGGGGGGACCCCCGCGCCGGGCACCCCCGGGGCGCAGGGCCCGGGGGGCCCGGGCAGGGACGCGGCCCCCGCCCCGCGGACACCGGCTTTGTTTTTACAGGTGTCGGGAGGGTAATTTACTAACAAGTAATTAAAGGTCGCACCGGTTTGCAGGAGCGCCGGGCCAGAGGCTCCTGCGAGAGAAGAGCGGTGCATATGGAGAGGGGTTTGTCCTTCCTCATTAAAAAATAGAATAATAAAGGGGGGGGGGAAGAGAGGGAGAGAAAGAAAATACAAATCCTTTATTGTTGGGGAATAAGCCGGGAAGCTGGCTGTCTCCCTGCGCCTCGCATTCGGCAGGGAAGGCGGCGCGGATCCGGTATCACGTTGCAGATCCTCACTCGAGATAACGAAATGCGATCTATTTTTCAGAACAGCAAGTGGATGGGAAAGGAGCCTCTACAACACAAACCTCATTGACTTAATGGGTCGGTTTTGGATTTCGCCTTCGAAAGGTTCGGCAAGCGGCAGCGTTGTGTTTCTGCCCCGCCGGCTCCCAGCCTTCAGCCCCGGTTCCTCATCCCGACGAGACACGGCTCCAAAAAAAAAAAAAAAAACAAAAACATTGCTCGTTTTATTTTGCTGCTCTATTTGTTTCCTTCAGACCCTCACACTTAAAGAAAAAAAAAATAAAATTTATTTTTGCTTGGGGAAGAGCTTTATTTCTAAGTTCGTGGGTACAGGGGGGATGTATTCGGGTTATTTTTTCCTGATTTGTTTTGGCTTTCTGTCGAAATCGAGGAAAACCCGCAGAGCGTTGTATGGGCTGCATCTTCATCCCCGCTTCGCGCTGTATAACGCCACATCGAATAAACAAGGGAAGAGATGAATTTCCCGCACAAACAGAGCCGACGGGTGCCCGGGCAAGGGGGGCGAGGAGCGGAGGGCCCCTCGTCCGACCGCCGCCTCTCCGCGGGCGCGGAGCGGGCAGGCCCCGACGGCGGGGGACAGCTCTGAGGGGCTCTGCCCGAGCGGGGAGCGGGGTGATGCTGCCGGGGTGATGCTGCCGTGCTGCTCCTGCTCTGCCGGGAAAGGAAGGACCGAGAGCGGCCGGCGGCAGCTCCGTGCCGTTGTGTTGTTCGGTAGCTTTATGCTCGTTTGCATCTGCCTTGTTTATATTTTTATTTTTGGTTTTGAGCGGCTGGAAACTACTTTTTCTCTGGGTGGTTTTCAAGGGTTAAATGGGATGGGGTATTCTGGGAATACATGTACCTCTTTCCGCGATTTAAAATGAAAGGTTCCCAATTTTTCGAAAAACCAACCCCGGGCCACAACGAACATTGATGCTGAGCGGTTCTCGCTTGCAGTAACTCCCAGGTAGACCCCGGCGGGTCAGTCCCCTCCTTGTGTGAATTTTGATGAGAAGGAAAAATAAAGTCCCGCTCGGGAATCGCGAGGATGCCTCGGCTCAGCCCTCGCCCTTCCCTATCAGCAGTTCCGCCGGCCACATTAGGATAATTTGCTTATTCCCAGTAAGAGCGGTGTTTGTTTTGGTCGGCCTTTTAAAGGAGGGGGGGGAAGAAAAAAAAAAAAAAAGAAAGAAAAAAATAAGAGAAGAAATGTGAGGGCAAGAAAAAGCCGCTCTCGTTAAAATGGCCAGGGGCTTTCTCAGCCTCGAGTTGCGTTTTCTCCTTCTCATCCAGAAGTTACAAACCCTCAGATCCGTACTCTTCCCGAAGTGAGCACCTTATTAGAAAGAAGAAAATAAAGTAAAAAATTAATAACAGTAGACAGGAGAGATGGAGGAGCCCACCCCCAGGCTGGGCAGGGCGCTGCTCCTCCAGGACGCGGCCGCGGGCGAGCCCATGCCTTATAATTCTGCGCACTTGCTCCAGACTTTAGGGTATTAGTTGATTTTAGAGCCGGGTTTAAGGCTTCGTTCCGGTCCCCACACAGCTGCCTTGTCAATAAGGATCTGTTCCAAGCAGACATTCCTTCTGGGAGGACATTGCAGCTCTTTAAGACTTCATCTGCAACATCATAAGTACTAAAATAAAATGGCAAGGGAAAATTACCAGACACATGGTCATGGGATATGGAAGAGCCCTGACTCCGGCGGACATAGTACAGTCGCTGTACAGACTGGGTGGCAAGGGCTTAATTTAAACAGCCCCGAGACGCGAAGTACGTGGGAAAAACAACAATCTGGATTTAGGAAAATATCGGGACCGGCCTTTCCCATGTCGTATCGCGGGCAGAGGCTGCGGGCAGGGAGCGGGCAGCGGGAGAGCCGCCGGCCCCGGCTCCGAGCCCTGCGGCTCCCCGGCTGTGAACGGGTTCCTCTTCACTTGGAGCATTAAACTCAAATAAATCCGACTTGGAAGGTCAAATAAATCCGACTGTCTTTAGTGAGGACAAACAAGTTTTAAAGAACCCCGCGATGGCTCTTGGCACCCACGGAGCGAACTCATTCTTGAATCCAAAGCGTTCTGGAGTGTGCCGAAAATACGGGTTTCGACTTATCTAATCAAAGATAAATACAGCCATAAAGGCACCCCCTGCCCCCCGCGCCCTGCCCTTATCTCACCGCATTGTCCTCACCTCCCTGCTGACAATAGATTATCTTTGCTTAGGGAGCCTAATTGTTTTCTAATTTTTCAAATAATTGCTTTTGAGTGAGGTGTGCAAATGAGGATTAGGCTAATTAAAGCGCCGCCGGTGGGTGCAGCGCCGCTGCCCGCCGCCCGCACGGGGCTGCCCCGACCCGTCGGGACCCCCCCGAGGGGAACTGGGCAAAGCTGGGGGCAGGAAGGGGCGCACGGGTCCCCGCGTGTTATTTAGCCGTTCACCAAACCATTATTTATTCATCCTCAGCACTAAGGTAATTAAATACGGGCTGGCTTGGCAGGGGACGGCCAGCGCCCGGGGGGGCGGAGCGGGGGGGGGACAGGAATTTTGGGGCAGAAACAAAAAAAAAAGATGGAAGAAAGAAAGAAAGCAAGCAAAAAAGAAAGACAAGAAGAGCCCGGCGGGAGCGGCTTCCCCGGGGATGCGCCCGGGGGCGCGGGCGGCGGGGCCGCACCCGCGCAGAGGCGGCGGCGGGACGCGCAGCCGCGGCCGGGGCCGTGTCCGGGGCCGTGTCCCCGCCGCCAGGCCCCGCCCGCCCGTGCCGAGGCTCTGCCCGCCGGGCCGGGCTGGGCTGGGCTGGGCTGGGCTGTCCGGGCTGGGCCGGGCCGGGCCGGGGGTGCCCAATCAGCGCGGCGCGGGGGCTCGGGCGCTTTAAGCGCGGCGGCGGCGGAGCGGGGACAAAGTCCCCCCGGCGGCGCGACGAGCATCCCCGCTCAGCCTGACACACCGCCCCCGGCTGCCGCAGCGCCTCCCCGCTCTGGGGCCGCCACCGGGACCGGCACCGGGATCGGGATCAGCACCGGGCCCGGGCCCGGCGGGCGCCTCCCCCGCGCCCCTCCGCCGCCGCGCTCCCGCGGAGTGCCCTCCTCCTCTTCCTCCTCTTCCTCCTCCTCCTCGTCCTCCTGCGGCCGCCGCCGCGCTCGGCCATGTCGATGCTGCCGTCGTTTGGCTTCACGCAGGAGCAGGTCGCCTGCGTCTGCGAGGTGCTGCAGCAAGGGGGGAACCTGGAGAGGCTGGGCCGGTTCCTCTGGTCGCTGCCGGCCTGCGACCACCTGCACAAGAACGAGAGCGTCCTCAAGGCCAAGGCGGTGGTGGCCTTCCACCGCGGCAACTTCCGCGAGCTCTACAAGATCCTGGAGAGCCACCAGTTCTCCCCCCACAACCACCCCAAGCTGCAGCAGCTCTGGCTGAAGGCGCACTACGTGGAAGCCGAGAAGCTGCGGGGCAGACCCTTGGGCGCCGTCGGCAAATACCGCGTCCGCCGAAAATTCCCTCTGCCCCGCACCATCTGGGACGGCGAGGAAACCAGTTACTGCTTCAAGGAGAAATCCCGGGGCGTGCTGCGGGAATGGTACGCCCACAACCCCTACCCGTCCCCCCGGGAGAAGCGGGAGTTGGCGGAAGCCACCGGTCTCACCACCACCCAGGTCAGCAACTGGTTCAAGAACAGGAGACAACGGGACCGAGCGGCGGAGGCGAAGGAAAGGTACGTGCCACCCCCTCATCCACTCCATCTCCCCCTCTTCTCCCTGCTCCACCCTGCGGGGGTCGGTTGGGAACCCCGGGAGCGCGGCGACTACCCGGCGGTGGATGGGATGGGAGCCACGAAAACACACGGTTCCCTCCAAATCCCATTTTTTAAAATCATAAACCGTGTTGCGTCTCTCCTTCTGTGGAAACCCAAGTGGGCTTTCCACTCGAGATCAACCCGACCCCACCTGCCCGGGGGGAACAAACGAGGCTTTCACCGTCCTCTCCAGGCCGCTCCGCCGCCTTTGTTTGCCGCCTACTGCCCCGAGCAAACCGGGAGCGATGCCGTCCCGGAGCCTCCGGGGAAGCGGTCGGGATGCCGGGTCGGGCATTGCCGGGGATCGGTCAGGGTAGCACCGAAGCCCGGAGGAGCAGAGAGATGCAGCTCCGGGATGGAGAGGTGGGGGGAATCGGAGGGAGGCCGGGATGGGGACACGCTGGCCCGGCCGAGCCGCCACCCCGTACCGAGGCCACCCCGGGAGGCGCCGGGGTGGCCTCGGAGTGAGGCGGCAGCTTGGCCCGGAGAAACAGAGTGCCACGGAGGGCATCGCCTTCAGCAACCTCCCCATCGAGCCTCCAAGAGAAAATCTCGCACCCTGCTCGTCTCCCGGCCGCACTTTCATTTTTAATTAAAAAGAAAGAAAAATCTCCTCTCAAAAAAAATCCCTCCCTCCATTTTTTTCTTCCTCACCTAAATTACTGGGCTGTGCGGTGTGCGCTTATTTATAGAAGGGGTAAAAGAAATGGGGATGATCCGTTATGAAAATATTAGGATTTTTTTTTCCCCCGCTGGAGAAGCATCTGCTCCCACGCTGGAATTAAATACGAAGGATTTACGGGGGACATTAGCACAATGCCCATCCCCGCTGTCTCCTGCCCGCCCTGACATCCCCGTTGTGGGATTTTTTTTTTTCTTGCCTTTCTACAGGGAGAACACGGAAAACAACAACGCGGCCACCAACAAACCGAACCAACTCTCGCCTCTGGATGGGAGCAAACCCCTCATGTCCAGCTCCGAGGAAGAGTTTTCTCCTCCCCAAAGCCCGGATCAGAACTCGGTCCTGCTCTTGCAGGGAAACCTCAGCCACACCAGGAGCTCCGGCTATTCCCTGAGTGGTTTAGCCACATCCCAGACCCCTCACAGCCTCCAAGGCCACCAGCTCCAGGACTCGCTGCTGGGACCCCTCACGTCCAGCCTGGTGGATCTGGGATCCTAAAGGCCCTCGGTGAACGGCCAGAGGATCAGGAGAGGAGGTTCTGCTCGGGGACAGAGGCTCTGGGTTGTACATAGAGGACAGCACCCGGTTTTACAGCTCACCCGCTGATTCTAAACGGGACTCTCGGCTCTTTTCACACAACCCCACATCGGCTCCTGCTCCAGTTCCCCCCTCCCCCAGCATCTCCCACAATCACCACGATTTTTTTTATTATTATTATTTTTTTTCCACGTAGCCAAACGCGAAGAGCGGCAATAACCCTCGTCAGCCCTTCGAGTTCAAACAAGTTGATCCCAACGGGAATTACAAAAAAAAAAAAAAAAAAAAAAAAAAAAAAAAAAAAAAAAAAAAAAAAAAAAATAAAAAACCTAACCCCAGCTGGATCCGATTCCACCCAAACAAATCCCAGCGCGCGGTGGGGCAGGGGCGGCCAGCACATCCCTGCTGCTGCCCGGCCGGATCCCCCGAGGAGCTGAGACGGGGGGACAGAGGGAGCGAACCGCTGTACTGAGCCCTGTGTCGGAGTGGGAGGAGGAAGGGGAAGTTACGTTTACATTTTTCATATTTAGCTTCACCAGAAAGATTTCGATGTAGTTTAAATTAAAAAAAAAAAAAAAAAAAAAGAAAGAAAAAAAAAAAGGAGTGAAAAAAATCAAAAACTTCAGTATTAGAATTTTACCAAGTGCCTGTGTCTGAGTGCGGCCGTGCGATGCAGTTACTGAGTGGGCTCTTGTGGGCCCACGTCCCCCAGCTTCCTCCTCCTTGGTGGTGAAATGCAACAATGTGGCTAAAAATTAGGAGAATTATAGTAATAATAAAAGTCGACGGCCGTTTCCTCCTAAACGAGTATCCCCCGGGCTGCTCCGCCAGCTCCCCGTTGCCTTCTCCCGTCTGTCCCCGCTCGCCGCCTCCCTCCTCCGGCTTGCAGAGAGCCCGCGGATGACGCTGCCTGTCTCGAGTATTTGTTACCAAAAATCGCATGTGCTTTCAGGTTTATTTTCTATTGTACCTAAACAGTCTAAATTAAACAACGCTGATGGCAGAACATCCAGGCTGCGCTTTTCTTTGCAGGATTTCTTTGCTCGTGCCCCTCTGCCCACCCTTACGCTCCTCCCCACGGGCTGCAGCGGAGGTGCTTCGGGGCTGCGGGGAAGCCGGTGCCTTCCTAACCGAGGAAGGACTGGGAGAGGGAGCCCGCCTTGCCTGGAATAATCCCGTGGGAGCCGGGCTCCCGGCCGGGAGGGAGCGGCTGTCCCCCGCCGCCCGCCCCGTCGGGGCCTCGCTGATACCGGTCCCCCCTGTTAGCGTTTTGCATCATTAAGTGCGTGTTTATTTAAGTCGCTGCCGTGTTTGTGCTCGGGGTCTTGGGCCATGGAGAAATGTCACCCTCTGCAGGAGGGTCTTGCCCGGCCGGAGCGCTCCGCGTGTCTCCCGCTCAATCCCCAGCGGATCCGCCGGCCTTGGCACAAGGACACGCTTCAGAGCCCCCCGTGGGGCTCCCACCCGCGCCCGGACGGGGTGGCGGATCCGTGCTCACCCCTCGCCCTGCGGGGGAGCCGGAGCGCGGTGCCCGGGCTGCTGGGATGGTTTCCCTTCTCCCTCTGGATGGGCACCGGTTGCCCCCTCGGGGAACCTGGCCCAGATCCCGCCGGCCCTCCTGCACCCACGACCCTTTGTGGGGCCATGGCCGGGGCAGTGGGGGATCACCCGCCCGGGTGGGGCACAGCGTGGCTCCGTGGGAGCAGCTCGGAGGGCGCAAATCCCGCGCAGGGACGCGCAAACCGCGCGGGTGGGCGCGCAGCTGCTTGTCTGCGCGCATCTGCGGCCGCGGGCGGAGGGGGGGCAAGAAGAGAGGTTGTGGGGGGAGCATGGACCCCCTTCTTCGTGTGCAGCGCCCCCGACCCCGGGTGCCCGGCTCGGGAGGGCGACCGGGAGCGAATTTCGCTCCGAGCCCCGCCCGGACCTTAGAGGACGGGACGGGTGGGTCCTTGCCCCCCGGTCCAGGCTCGTCCTCTTCGCCCTTCCCGGAGACCTTCATCACTCTTCCCGGGGGACTCGTCCAACCCCGCCGTGATCCGTCACAAAGCAGCGCAGCCGCTCCCAACCCCTCGGGCAGAAAGGGGGGAAACCCCCTGGACACGAAGGAGGTTTTCCGGGTGAGCAGCTGTGGGCTCTGTGCCCCAGCTCCGTTTTTTTTTCCCAAACCACGGGCTCATTGAAGAGGAAGGATAAATATTGCCCGAGGCTCCAGCCCTGCGCGGCGGGAAAGCCAAGCAGGGACTCAGAAACCAGGGGTTATTTTCAAAGCAAACAGCGCAGAGTCGCTTCCTGAGCACAGGCAGCGGCAGGGCTGACTGTCGGAGGGTGAGGGGAAACTTCCAGGGGATGCCCCCCTTGACCGAGTCCCCCTTTCCAGCGCACACCTCCGGGCCGGGGGTTCTCTCAGGCTCGACGGCAGCGGAGCGGGACCGCGCCCGCCGTACCCCGCCGCCCCCGGCCGGAGAACCCTACCCACTCCCCGACCCTCCATTTCCCCAAAAAGGAGAGGGATGACGCTGCCAACAGGCGGACGATGGCAATGAGGGATGGAGGGTGCTGAGGGCACCTCCCTGGAAACAACTCCCCGGCCGACAGGAAGGCAGGAGCAGGAAGGCCCTGGAGCTGAGCCAGGCGCAGGTTGCTGAGCTCTTCTCGATTAGGCTTGACCTCGCAGCAAGCTTTTCACAGCAGAGCCAGCCTGGGGAGGCAGCCTGGGGCTCTTTCTCACCTAGCGCTGCTTTGTGTTTCCACCGGCAGGAAGGAGTTAATTCGCGCCCCTTCACTCCCGCTCACCCCCCAGGACAGATTTCACACTGTGTCCAGGTCAGCCAAAAAAGGGGAGGAAATGGAGAACAGCGGAATGATTAATTCTACCTGCTTTTCCCATGAGTGATCACCTGCTTTCGGGGTCATGAATAGCAGGTAGCTCTCTCCGTCTCCAGCTCTGAGAAGCTCATTTGTTTGGTGACAGCTGAGTGACAAGACCTGAAATCCGAGCCCTCAACTTTGCCTGATGTGTGGATAAAACCCTGGATGTTCCCTCAAACATTTCAGGAAATGAAAGTTGTAACGCGATCCCTTGTGCGCCCACATCTCCCCCAGCAACACACAAAAGCTCAAAGGAACCTTCTCGGATTAAATTCAGCCTGGAGAGGATGGAAGGAAAATGGAGAGCAGGCTGAGAAAGCTGGAACTGGCAGGCTTTTCTTCAGCAGTTATTGGAAATGTCTGTCCAAAGCAGGGATTTAGAAAGGTCACCTCTACTGTAAGCGCTTCTTCCTCCATCGGTGTCAGACGGGCAGCCCGTTGCTCCCCAGCCTTCTTCCACCTTGGGGGCAGCCTGGGGGGTTGTGGGGGTGTGCTTGGATTCCCCGAGCAGGAAATTCAGTGTATAAAAACAAACGCCCAAGGAGAAAGCCAGCCCCCTCCTCTCTCTCTGCTCAGTTAATTTCCTATGTCACGTTGAGCCAGCGCTGTCCCGCGCACAAACCACACGCCCGCCCTGCCCCTGCCCCACTGCCAGCCCTTGCCCACTCCCCTTCCCTGCCGGCCCCCCAGCCTCCCAGAGGGGCAGGTAGGGTCCCACTCTTGGCCCCACAGCCCTGGGCCATGTGCTGACAAATCCTCCACAGAGGCCCGCCATGAGGACTGGATACTTGCTCAGCCCATGGATGTAAGTGCAACATTTCCAGGACTGGCTCCCTAAAGCTCTCATATCCCCAGCTGCAACTCCAGAAGCCCAGAGCCGAGATGTGGCACTGTTTGCACTCTGTGTCTTTGCAAATTAGGCCTGAATAGCCAGACATTGGAGTTTCATTTTGATCACACAGGTTTGGGAATGTCAGCAGCTGGAATGAGGTTGGGTGTGCGGGATAGGCAGGATTGGGCCAAGGCATCCCAACTCCCTCTCTCCTGGGTAGATGGTTTATGGAGCTGCCTGTTACTAGGCAGCCATCAGCTGCTTGCACTGTTATCCAGCCTGAAGATAAAGTACTATTTAACAATTGTTTAACTGTTCTTGAAGTGCTTCAGACTCTGCAGACCCCGTAAAGGAAACAGCACATGCCCCGAGATAACACTTCACCTCTGAGCTTCTCCCTTACTCCTACTATTCTCTGGAGAGCAGCTCATGGGCACTGCACAGGTGGAATATCTCTCTGTCTGCCTGCCCAATGTGATTTGCTGTCAGTAATTTTGCACCCGAGGAAGAGCTCAGTGTGGGAGCGACACTGCTCGAGGCTGCCGTCTGTACAAACTGCCTTCAGGGTCAGGTGTTGTAACCTGCCCGAGGTGTGTGGATGTCATTAGCAGGAGCAGAACACAGTGCTTGGACATCCTGGCTGTGGCAATTCATCTCCAAGGACAGACTTTGCTATTCCTGTTGTGGCCAAAGCCGTCAGGTTTTCTGAGGGCACCAGGTGCTGTGTGGGGAGAGCAGAGGTGGCAGAGGCCGGATCTACGGGAGCTTTAGTGCAGCTCAAGTGTGCAAAGTAACCTGAGACACTGTCATCTTTCCCAACTGGATGTGGACACAGTTTTAAATATGGAAATGAAGGAAAATTTGCTTTAATCTTCAGGCAGAGAGAGCAAATTACCAGGCTCCCCAGAGATTATCAGCGCTACCCCCAGCAGCAGCCTGATGCTGTCTGGAAAGGGCACCAGGCTGAACCCCCATCCTGTGCCACCCTGTCTTTCCTTCCAGCTGGACTTTTCACCAAGCACAGGAACATTCCCTCTCCCCCCTGTGGTTGCTGGCATTCAGCTCCAGCTTCCCAAATTTTAAACAGCGGCTGAATTTTCTCCGAAGCATATAATCCCAATCCTAATAATGAGGTTAAAGAGGCAGATTTAGTTCAATTACGGTTTCCTGTTTTCACATGTCCAGTGCTTTTGGAAAATGCTTCTGTGGGCAGAGCGACTCCTTCCCATCTCCATCTTAACTTCTCATCCCCAGCTTAGAT